TTATCTGCAAGGATTTTTATATGTGGGATTTAGGGAACTCTACTTTCTCAGTTCTTGAAATGATGGTAAAACTGATAGCAGCTGCCTTTCCAGGGGAATGAGTGGAGAGCAAAGAATTCAGGTAGGCTAGGATGTTCCAGTTGCAGTATTGCTGTTGGGAAAGCAGCCTCTATTTGATCTTAGCTCCTCTGAGACCTAGCAGATTTGTAAGCCATAGCCTTTAACTAATGCTTTGATTGTGAGTGCAGAGTGCTAGAATGTGGTTTTGTTCTCAAAAGGGAGAGATAAGAGCAAGAATGAAAAGTGTGTGTAAGGAGGCAGCGGAGAAACCAAGGCCAAGTGTAATGCCAGCCAGCAGAAAGAATATAGTTCAGAACTGAGCTACCAGGAAAGTTTAAAAGAAACCCCAAAGCCACAAATACTTGCTTAGTCCATATTAGCGTGGAGGAGAGAGCGTGCCTTCTAAGATGCAGCTTCTCTCAGTCTCTGATAACATATGGTAGTTTTGATGACCCAGAATCACTGGACAGGCATCTCAAGGGAGGGGGAGTGCCACAGTGGGGGTAACTGCAGGGTTTGCTTTTGAGTGATGGGAGGGGAGGCGTCTTGCTGCTGGGGTAAACTCACTACTCAACATACAGTGAGGCTTGGAGCTGCTGCACACTCTTCCAGGTTAAAGCCCTATGGAGAAAGATGGATTACTGTACAAACACAAGCTCTGCTTTGGAAAGATGTTGGGATGTCTGTCCCTTCATGCCAAGTAGAATATGACACCTCAGTATTCCCTTGTTGCTTTCATTTGGCATTTGGGCTTTCTAAAATCCCTCAGCCCTAATGCAAACATAAAGTCACTGTCAGTGGAATCATGCTGGAAAAGTCCCTTATGGCTATTATCTGTTTTATCAGTCCACAGGGGTTTTGTCAGTCTCCACTTCGCTGTTTCCTCCAAAGGGAATTACTTGAATTCAGCATCTTGAGACAGTTAACCATATAAAACAGACTGTTCTGTGGGCAACTGAAGTGATCTAGCCTGTGTCTCCCCACCAGAATTCTTGCTGGACAAGAGATGGCATATGCTATGGCCGGTCTGGAGCCACATGTTTCAGATTGGTTTGGCAGGCTCAGGCTATATACATTAGTGAGGGTTTTCCAGTATTTGCCTCTGCCAGGAACTAATGTAGCTTTTTTTCTGTGCTCAATTGATGACTTTCATTAAACTTTTAAGAACCTGAAAGATACAAGACAGCTGCTCTCAAATTAAGCTGATCCTGGCCCATACACTCAAAAGCTTGGTGGACGCTGAGTACAACCTTTGAAAATACTCGTTATTGCTCTGATGGATCTTGTCAGCCTTGAGGTGGAGTTGAAGAGATAGAGGTAAAGTTTAGTGCCTGCTTTTTGTTCTTTTGTGTTTTATTTCCTGCCTGGAAGGTGGACATGGTGGCATCCAGCATGAAACTCTTCAGTCATCTGCTACAACTTGTAATGCTGCTATATGTCTTGCAAGAGTCAGGACTTTTCTCACTTCAGCTGCTGCAGCAGTGCAGTTATGTGACAACATCAAGGTTTGGGGCAGGGGAGATGACATCCTACTGGTGGGGGCCAGGGGGAAAAGAAGTCTGGAAATTTGAATGCTAAAAGCAGTGAAAAGGCAACCTCACTATTTTGGTTGCTACAAACCAATTTCACCATACTTTTTTGCAGTCTTGTAGTGTGATTCTGTAGCTCCTCAAGCAGAAAAAATCCTTCATGATCCTTCATTCAGCATTCCACTTACAGTATTGTTTTATTAAGATACTTACCTTTCACTGGTCAGTCGTTGTGAATAGCTCGTAGTTCTTCTTTATTTGTGTACTTCCTGAAATTCTGCTGTTAATTTTTTTTTTTCTTACTTGGAAGCGGCCAATTGCTTTGAGACCAGCAATTAATGTGCCTGTAAAAGATATATGAATTGGAGCAACTGTTGGTACTGAGCAGACTGTGAAAGTGCAAGTTGAAACACTTCTCATAATGTTCTTTTATTTGAAAAATGATTACACAATTCCAGGAAATTATTGTGGCATTTCACGCCGAAAGTAACTGGATTTAAATAGCGGAAAACAAAGAGGAGGGGAAATAAGACGAGGAAGAGAAGTTGGGAAGGGAAAGGAACGCCTGGAGAAAAAGATTGTGTCCTACTCCAGTATTTCAGAGAAGATACCCTGGTCAACCTAATGGGCATTATTAACATATCCCTGTCCAGGAATTTTACCAGGTTGCTGATGGTCAGTGCTCCACAAACTGTCTGGAAGCTGAAGCCAAGGGCCATCATGTTCACAGTTGGTGATAGGCCTGTCCATCATTGTATCTGCAGCTGTCACAGTTTTGTGGAAATAAATGAAAATTTTGTGTGTTAAAGCTATTACTATCTGGTGTTTGAAATTGATATCTGAAATAGGAATATAAATTCATTATTGCAGTATTATGCTTAAAATGCAAGGTGTGAGAGTCTCCTGTTCATCACTGTGTTTCATTGATATTCTAGAAATACCCGAGACCTGCTCAGGGCTTGAGATCCCCTTGTTAGTTGTCAAATATGCATAGAAAGAAAGGTCTTCATGTGTATTTCAGACCTAGAGTTCAGTGTCTTAGGATGTCCCAAAGTGTTAGTGATTTCATTTGAATTGCATCTCAAGGTGATGTTTGTTCTTGCAACATGCCTGTGTAATGGTTATTACAAAACATAAATTTAAGCTGGTAAATTTAGAATCTGTGTACCATTGATTATCAAATAATGTTTACCTCACTTTTCAGCTCTTGCTACAGTAATTGGAACAAAAAACAATGCCTTGAAATTTTGTCAAAAGCTTCATTGCAGAAAATAGTACTGGAAGAGATTGGGAAAAGTTATCTTGCTTAGTCAAAGAATCATATCATTGAATGGTCAAAGAATCATATCATTTAAGGGAATTGCCCCTTAAAGCTCATGCAGTTCCACCCCTATGCCATGGGTAGGGACACCTTCCACTAGACCAGGTTGCTCAAAGCCCCATCCCACCTGGCCTTGAACACTGCCAGGGATGGGGCAGCCACAGCTTCTCTGAAGAAAAGCTGTGCCTTCTCTTCATAATCCAGTCTCTGCCCAGCCTGTATTTGTGCTTGAGGTTACCCCAACCCAGGTGCAGGACTTGGCCTTGTTGAACTTCACGAAGCTGGCACTGTCCCACCTCTCCAGCCTCCTCAGGTCCCTATGGATCCCATCCCTTCTCTCCAGCATGTCAGCCACACCACACAGCTTGGTGTCACTGGCAACCTTGCTGAGGGTGTGCTTGATCCCACTGCCCATGTTGCCAACAAAGATGATGGATCCTTTGCCTCCAAGTAGTAACTCCTAAGCCTAAATCCTTAGCAAGTGTTGAGCATGTGTTTAGCAAGTGTTAAGAGCTTTCAGTGCGAGGCGTGTTGCAAAAGTAGTCTCTCATCTGTTGCTGTAAGTGCATGAGATTTACAGAAAAGAATTCTTCCAATATGTGTTTTCAGTAATTCTATGTCAAATACTTTTGCTAACTGTTAGTAGGCTTTTAATATGAATGTAGGTGGTGTTACTACCTCCAACATTCAGTAAAACTTTTAATGATTTGTTTAATAATTGATCTATAGCTTTGGGATCATTTAGATTTTTGTGGGAGATGACAGAAGAGTAGAATATATTTAGCTGCTTAGTTTAATCATCCCTATCTGTGGATTTTGTAGGTGAAGAGCAGCATGAAGCAATAGAGCTAGTGAGAGAACCTCTTCTAGAAAATTACCCCCCTTAGCAGGGTAAGCTAAGGAAAGCTTTAATTAACTTATTAATTCAATACGTAAGTGTCTGCAAAGTGTTTCCTGAGCAGTAATAGTCATTACCTTTCATAATTGTGTGCAGTTACGCAGACCTTATATTTGCATGTATTTCCCTATTTGCCAATAGATTTATTTCTCAGCTTGTTTCCCTCTGTCCTGAAGCTTTTACTGGTGCATTTACATTGTACAGTTAGCTCAGTTATACTTTGGCACCATTTAATCCTTTGAAGTGAGTGTTGGTCTTTAAGCTTGAAAAAATGATCATTGGTGCCACAAAGATTTTGTATGCTGAGTCTCGGAGGTTCTGAAAGGATCTCTAGGTTCTGCCCCCATTATGGCTCTCTGCTGTGGCAGCTATGCTCTGTATTTATTAATCAAGGAAAACTGTTTCTTTCAATCAAGGTTGCTGTTTCTTTCCAAGTTGAGACTGCTTCTGTGTTGGGGTGATGTCTCTCTTCTGTTCTCTGAAGGACTTGCTGGACTAATAAAAAGGGAACCTAGAGATGTAAATCTGGAAAGTCTTAACAAATAAGGATTTAAATCTTAGTGAGCTACAATAGAATAGCAGTTGTCCTTTTCTAGTCTAGTTTCAAATACTAGAATACTATTTTGTCTTTGCTATATCCACATCTATAGAGACCAGTTTCCTTTGACAGGTAGTATGAAGTACCCTTTTAATGAGGAAAAACAGGCTGAAAGCATTCACTCATCATCACATATGAAATTGTTAGGCTCTTTCTGATGTAACTAGAAATCTATTTAACTGTAATGATATCTCTGAAATCCTGACGCTTTTAACTGTAAATCAAATGTATTGCTCACTTGCTTGAAAAAGCAGAGAAACCAAAGAATCCTAACCCCAAAGTCTGTGCTAGGATACAAGTTCCTATGAGGGTTAGGAACTTAATATAAATTCAGAGAAAACCACGTGTTTGGAGTCTAAGCTGTGAAAATGGTAGGTACTGGGTACTTCTGAACTAGAAACAACCTAGTGCCACCTGGGGTTTTCATTAAAAGCAAAATAAAAAATCCTAGTGAATGTGTTTACCTAGCCTTGTAATAACATGTTACAATACACTGCTTTTCCTGATCATAGTAAAGGTGTTTATATAGTGAAATGAATTTGATATTATTTTTGTGGAAGCTGTATACAATAGACATATTCTTTTATTCAACAGGCAATCAGCTGTAAAGGTCAGCACAGTATCTCTTACACGTTATCCAGAAACCAGACTGTTGTAGTGGAGTATACTCATGATAAAGATACAGACATGTTTCAGGTAAGACTCTATGCAATATATGCATTGTTTTTTAAAAGCAACACGTGGAACCACAGTTCTGCATTACATTTTTCTGGGTGTCCTCTGTGATCTGTGGAATTTCCATGGTTGAACCCAGTTGCATTAATACGGGAGGACTTTGCAGTTTCGCATTCTCTGCTCTTCTCAAACCAGCACTAGCATGTTAATATCCTTACTGCTCTCACTGTACTCTGCTTTTTGTGCAAGGACAGTATAGCAGTTTTACAAATATCACCAGAAATAAATGTGTGCTCTGTTTGAATTTGTAAATAAGCACAAGAATACACCCCTCACCCTCGGTTCATTAAGTAGCTGGAGTAAAAAAGGAAGTGGATAGGAGTAGGATATGGGATGGGGAAGAAGGAAGGTAAAAGCAAGGATAGGGAGGGGAATGTGGGAGCTGTGCACTAAAGGAGACAAACTAGTGATAGAATGATAAAGAAAGCCATTCCTGGATGGTGTGCAAATATACCAAATGGTGTAGGGGACTGTGCCGAGTTTCTCTAGGCACACGTTTTTCTAATATGTTTTCTCTTCCCTGTATGCATTTGTGTTTTTCAGAATCCTAACATTCTGAAAACCAAACTTACTTTTATTTGTGCAGTGCTTAATTTTATATATGATAGATCAGAAATTCTGCACAAACTTAGACCTCCAGCTTGAAAAAAAAACACTCACAGCCTTTTCCAGTCTAGACTAATCAGGTTTGTCTTGTCAGTGATTAGACCATCTTACCATGAATTATCCCTCCTCATTCAGTCTTTCCTGTTTAGAAGGGTGCGTAGTTGAGTTGTTGACAGACACTATCAAGATGTCTGTACTTCATGTGGCTTCTGGGTTTTTTGCTCTATATAAAATCTAGTGTGACTTTGGAATGGTTAGGTCCAAGTAGGGTTCGATTTAAGAAAAAATATAAAAAAATAAAAAACCAAAAAGTCTTGTTCATTTGCTGCTTCACAAAGGATTGCACAGGCAGAGTGAACTGATGTTGACTGGTAAAAGAAAAATTTAACCCATCCTTTTGGTTACTGTGTGATACTTGTTTATCTTTACAATATTCTTTTGTGCCCTTATTGGCTTCAGTGAAACTTTCCTGTATGTAAATGCACAGAATCATCAAATGGTTTGGGTTGGAAGGTACCTTAAAGATTATCTAGTTCCAACTCCCTGCCACAGGCAGGGACACCTTTCAGTAGAGCAGGTTGTGCCAAGCACTGTCCAACCCAGCCTTGAACACTGCCAGCGATGGGGCATCCACAGCTTCTCTGGGCAGTCTGTTCCAGTGTCTCACCACCCCCATAGTGAAGACTTTCTTCCTAATACCTAATCTAAATCCTCCTCTCTGTCAGCTTAAAGCCATTCCCCCTTGTCCTATCCTTACAGGCCCTTGTCAAAGTCCCTCTAAAGTTTTCTTGAAGACCCCCTTAGGTAGTGGAGGGAAGGCTTTCCAAAGAAATGGTCAATGGGACAGGTTGTTTTCCCAAACCTATGAGTATCTCATGTGTTTTTGGATGCTAAAAGGTTTCGCAGGCAGAAGAGCTCTGTGCGCTCCAGCCAGTCATTAACATAGAGAGCAATACCCCCTCCTTGTCTCCCCAGCCTGTTCTTCCTGAAGAGCCTGTATTCTTCCATTCCAGCACTCCAATTGTGGGAGGTATCCCCCCACCTCTTCATGATGCCAGTAAGGCATAGGCCTTTAGGCATGTGCACGCCTCTAACTCCTCTTGCTTTTCACCCATCCTATATACATTGCATAGGGGCATTTAATTGGGGCCCATCAATTAAGCTGTTTTATTGTCAGGATTGGCTGGAAATCCTTTCTGTTGAGCTCTTTAGCTGCTCCCTTGCTGTCCTGCAGTCCCTTCTCAGGCTCTGGAAATCTCCTGCTGGCACCGGGATGGAACTAGCAGGAGCAGGATGGATTGAAGTTTCCCTTGCCTGGCAGCTCTAGCTTAACGCCCCCTTTGCCAGCTTGGCAAGCCTGTATCTGAAGATACTCTTCTGCTTCTTTGACATGTGGTCTCTAGCAGACCAGGTTACTCAAAGTGAGTCCCATTTTCTAAGTAGCTGAATCCCTGGCTGTAGCACCAATCCTGTAACCATTTGTTGATTTGCCAGATTCAACTGGCCCTTTCAAACCCTTTCCATTCAACTGGGAGAATTGATTAGAAAACTACCTCAAAACAAAAAACCCAACATTTTGAAAAGCTGTTTTTTTGAAAGCTAGAATTAGAGTTGCATTACAGCTGCTTTTCTGGTCATATCATATAGACAGCTCTTTTCTTGATTGTGCAATGTCCTAGTGGTGCTTACATCTTTTACTTGGGGGGTACTGGTATAGAATTAGGTCATTTGGGGTGCTGAGCTGTCATTCTAATAAAATTTAGCAGTCTGAGGCAAGGAGATGCATAATAGGCAAAGCAGTGCTCCACATGTCCAAGTGACCCTTGTCTAAGGCAGTAGGTTAAGGCAGCTAATTAAGGATGTTTTGGATCTAAAGTAGAAGTTTGACTTAGCAAGGAAGGGGCTGGTTAATTATAGAGTAGCCCAGCTAACAGCGTATCTTCCCCTGCTTCCCTTTGAGACCCGTTGGTGCTTGGAAGTGGAGGAATTTGCACAGGGTCATACACCGAGATGGCTTGGGCTGGCTGCCTACCCCAGAGACCTCCTTTACTTCTACAGCTGGCACTGGAGTGTACATCCCTTGCTGCACCCTCACAAACATAGCTCGTGCTTTCTCCTTCCAGCAGCTCCTGGGTGCCCAGGGAAATATCACAAAAGCCCTAATTTTGGTCCATGTACTGATTCACCTGTGTGACTGCCTATGGTTCAGGCAGTTATCTGCCATACATTTATAGTTAGCTGACTAGTTTAGCTTGTAATGGGTAAGATTATCCCATTTTAACAGTAAAACTTTTTTGAGCTGAATCTTGTGTTGATAAAGTGTCTCAGTTCTCCTGGTCCCCCCCTCAAATACCTAATGTGTCAGAGTTAAGGCTTACATGTTGCTTAAAATTTCTCTTTCCAGTGTAGTCTGTTTCTTCTGTCTTGATGTGTAGACTGTCTTGCTGTGACTTGTTCTCGACTTGACCTCTAGCAGTGTGTCCTGGTTCATGTTTCTGCTCTCTGTGGCCGTCTTCTCGGGGTTGTGCTCCACACATTGGCCTAGAGGGGCTGATAGCTGTGAGAGTTGGAAAAGGAATAGTCTGGTAGACTGAGACAGTATTTTGCTGCTCAAGCAATGCCTGAGAGCAGCTGAAGAGGTTTCCATTATTTAGAGAAGCTATTAGATTTTAATTATACGCAGTAACCTGATTGTGAACAATCAGATTATTTGAGGACTGATTTGTGCAGCCCAGTGGTAGATGATGACAAATTATATGTCCCCTGTTGATCCAGACAGTAATGTCTTACTGTTGATCTGGCATCACTTGAATAGGCAATCCTTGGATTTTGCTGTTTTCTTTTGAAATGTATGTGCTTCTGTAGAACACTGGCAAGGATGGGGAAGCTGAAAAGGGGAAGATAATGCCTGGACCACAGAATTACCTTGAAGCTTAAGGCCCCTCCTTGGCTGCTTCTGACACGTATTATCTTGGGCAAATAACTTAATGTTGTTTTTTTTTTTTTTTTTTTATCTTCATCTTCCCCTCTGTGAAATAGGGTAGTAGCACTGCTTGACTTCACTAAGGTAACCATACTAAGAAATGTGAGAAGCTTGGAATGGTGGTTGTTAGTAACACCTTAGTCAGTGGGACCTGAAATAGGAAAAAGGGACAGCAGAGTTTTTTGTTTCCTTGGTCAGGGTATTATTTCTAACCTGTGAATAACATGAAAACAGGAGGAGTGATGTGTTGGTGACTTTTATTCTGAAGTTTTTCCAGAAACAAATGGGAAAACTGTAAAGATTACAAACCCAGAATAGCTTCTTATTTTATGTTTTCCAATTTTATAACCAAGAGGAAGCATAAGTAGATGGTTTATTGGAAGTGAGGCATATATGGAAAGTGTGGGGAGACTATATAGCTGTTGTTGTATGTAAGTACCATGCAGCCGCTCGCTCCCTCACTCCCCCCAGTGGTATGGGGAAAACTGGAAAAAGGTAAAACCCATGGGTTGAGATAGTAACAGTTTAATAATTAAAATAAAAAAATAAGGAAAAAGAGGAGTAAAAGACAAGTGATGCACAATACAGTTGCTCACCACCTGCTGACCAATACCCAGACCGACCTGAGATCAGTCCCTTCCAGGTGACTCCCCCCAGTTTCTATATTGGGCATGATGTGCTGTGGTATGGAATACCCCTTTGGCTAGTTTGGGTCAGGTGTCCTGTCTCTGCTCCATCCTGGCTTCCTGTGCCCCTCCTCACTGGCAGAGCATGAGACTGAAAAGTCCTTGGTCAGAGTAAGTGCTACTGAGCAACAACTAAAAACATTGGTGTGTTATCAATGTAATTCTCAGACTAAAGTTGAAAACACAGCTCTACCAGCTGCAAGGAATTAAAGAACTGTTAAAGCTGAAACCAGAGCAACAAGGGACAGTAAGGAAGCTCAGAAGGCATTGAGGAGCAGTGTTCAGGCTCTCTAAATACCAATTTTATTGACATTTTCTATAATAAAATGAAAAGGGCCATATTTTCATGCATGAGCTTAGCAGTTAATAAAGTGTTTATATCACCATGCATAACCAGATGTCCTGGACATCTCTGTGATTCTGCTCTTATGTGCTAAACTGTTGTTCTGCTGTGTTGTGTGTGATTTGGGTTTTGTTTTTTTTAAGTGTAATTCTATAGTGAAATTTGTGTACAAATGCTACTATATACCTTTGTCTTGGTAACATCTAGATCAGATTTCTTCATGAAATAACAAAAAGAGAATGTACTAATGTGTTCCATCTGGCATTTCTTAAAGTCTACACGCTGCAACATCTGCATGCTGCTAATAATGAAGATTTTTTTCATTGGAGTTCGATAACCATTCTGTTCATGATGCATCAGTTAGAGCAGAACCTGCTCCTTCATGGCTTGGTTGGATGAGAATGGGTTGATTATACCTGTTCATATCATTATAAAAGGAAACAAAATGTGTAGCCTGTACCCTTAATAACTACAAGTTTATACAAGAAGCAGGTATATCCAATATGTAAAATTGATTTATTTTTCTTTTTTCTGAAGAACAGCCTTTCAGAAGATGCATGGTCCAATTCTCCCTATCATCAAAGTGAAATTCTGTTGAAGTCCAAGAATCTGTAGCTGTTAAATTATCTGCTGGCAGGTTGCCTGGTTTTGCTTTGTCTCAGGAGTGAGTGTTTTTAATAGCACTTTTTTGATTGACGGTAGATACTAGCAAATTGAGTGACTGCCTGGCTCTTACACAGCTTTGAACAATAACCTGTAGTGTAGACAACAGAAGTGGTCTTACGCATCAGTAGAAAGGTTTATGGTTTGTTACTGTGTCATGGTTTAAGCCCAGGCTGTAAATCAGAACCACGCAGCCCTCTCGCTCACTCCCCCCCGCTTTCTTCCCCCCCCGCCCCCACTCCTGGAGGGACAGGGAGGAGAACTGAAAGAGTGTAACTCCCACAGGTTGAGATAAGAACAGTGCAGTAACTAAGGTATAACACAAATCATTACTGCTACCACCAATAATAATAATAAGGGAAGTAACAAGGGGAGAGAATACTATACCACCCATCGATATGCAGCCCGATCAAGCAGTGGGCCAGCCCTTCTGGTTAACTCTGAGTTTACATCCTGGGCATGATGTGCTGTGGTATGGAATACCTCTTTGGTTAGTTTGGGTCAGGTGTCCTGTCTGCTTCCTCCTGGCTTCCCCTCCTCCCTGGCAGAGCATGAGGCTCAGAAAGTCCTTGGTCAGACTAAACATTTGAGCAGTAACTAAAAACATCGGTGTTATCAGCGCTGTTCCCAGGCTGAAAGTCAAAAACACAGCGCTGAACCAGCTACTAAGAAGGAGAAAAATGACTGCTACTGCTGAACCCAGGACATACTGGAAATGGCTTAGTGAAATAATATATATGAGGCAGTTAACAAGAAAAGTCCCAAAATACAGACTAAAACTATTGGAAAGAAGGCAGTTTTCTGTGCTATACAGGAAAATGGAAGAGAAAGGGGTAATAAAGTCTGCAAAGAGTAGCTTTGAATAGTGGAACCAAGTCTGCAGTGACTGCAAAGTCAGATGAGTTAAACTTCTGGGTAGGTAAATGCTGATAGCATCAAGTTCTTCATTTGTTCCTGGGGGACTTTTTTTTCAGGTGATCTCAACCTCAGAATTTTTATTTGATATACAGAATGAGGAAATTGCCATGAGAAGGCCACTTTTTAAAATAATTTTTAGTATTAAATTGTAGCACAAAACATTGTAGTACAGATTCTGTAGAAGGATTTTTCAGTAGGAAGGGTGCAGGGGGAACAAACAAAACCCCAAGCAAACAAAAGCAAACCCAGTATTTAAAAGATCTTAAGGTCCTTTCTACCCCTAACTATTCTATGATTCTATGGATGAGGTACATATAATATTTTAAGGAGCAAAGTAATTATGTACGTTTTAATGCTTACATATGAAGTGAAGCATTCAGATTTCATGTTGACTGATTAATATGATATGAGCAAGACTGGGAGCACACACTACTGTGTTTGTCATCATTTAAGGGAAAATAAGGCAGGTTTTTCTCTTAATTACATCTAAAAGCTGAGTCATCTATTTGAGAGACTGCAATATGTAAAAACTTGCACAAACAAATGCATTTCATGTTCGTTTCTGATTATCCTTTAAGAGACTTCACATACAGGTACAGTCAAAAGTTATGAATAAGCTTCCTGCTGCTAGTCAGTGCTGACTCTTAGCAGGAATTGGATGGGAAATAGAAGTGTGTTGGGAATAATGCTGTCTTATAGAGTAATACTGTATTACAGAATATAGCTTTAAGTCTTAGCTGCAACTTGTCAAGTTACATAAATCAGAAATGTCCCATATTAAACAGTTTCTAAACTCTCTTGGGTATTCTAGTAGTCACTTTGTGTGAAAAATTGAAGTGCATACTTTTGATTAGGCCTTTTTTAGTATTTCCTCAGCACTTTTATCTGCAGCAAGCTGATCACATCTTATACTTGGGTTGAGACCTGTGATGTGGAGAAAGTAACTGGGTATGTCACGTCAGACATGAATTTCAACATGTCTTTAACACTGCAAAGTAGAACTGGGAAGTACGGGAGTGATCCCTATATTGTTGCTCTCAGTTCAGTTGTGACAAGGGTTAAGTATTAATAATGTCACTTCCCTTGATGCTTGAATAAGGTTTCTTTACAGTAAATCTAGTTTGCAGAGATATATGTTAATGGTGAAACCATACATCTCTTCCCATAGCTGGCTTTGAAGAGCACGAAGCTAAGCGGAACGTAACTTCTTAGGGGACAATGAGGTTATTTTATATAAATGTAGATGCCTGATATTGCAGGTAGTTTCATGTGAAAAATATTCTTAGTTTTCTTCTGTTTGATCACAAGGTGTGTATAAAATTAAAATTCTTTTCCACTCCTTGTTCCTCTGCTCAGCTTTCCTTGTTATGCTCAAAGTTGGTATAATGCTAATTTTCCTGTAGAAGTATTGATGTGTCTTCCTGTACATTTGGTTGGCATTCAGATCCCTCTGTCCATTTTTAATCAAGTTTTCTACTGTAGCTGCCTCGATATTTCCAGGCTTGGAATTAAAATTTTTAGATGGCAAGATAGAAAAATATTTTTGTCTGCTGATCAGCTGTGTTGTCTTTCTGCTGAAAGAAGTTAACTTCTTCAGTTATGCATGTGCATAATTAGGAAAAAAATTAATCATACAGTGGGTTTTCCTGAAAACTCTTCTGTCAAGGAGCTAGAAATTCTGAAAACATGAGGGTGGGTATTTTTGTTACGATGTATTTAAATAACCGAGTTCTGGGTTTAAAAAAAGTGCTTTATTTTCATTCAAGCTAACTTGGAGCTAGAAAAGTGAATAAAACTTGTCATTTCAAGTTAATGTTTTGGTTTTTTTTTTTAATTTATAGAATGTAGTGGTAAGTAGCTTGCTGTGGTTGGATTATGAAAGAGTAAGGTGATAATACATCCCTGTTGTTGACAATACTCTAGCAAACAATTAATTGCAGCTATGTTGGGCAAGCATGTACGTCAGTCGTAGTAAGTGAAAATTTGTCATGTCAGTGATGCCTGCCTAGGACAAATGTGAAAATACAGATTAGTCTCCGTTTGGATCTTGCCATCCAAAAATGTAGTAGGCAGTAGTTTAGCAATGTCATCAGCATTAACTTGGCAAACTTGTGTCCTTAATGCTTGATATTTCTATGACTATTCCTAATTTTACTGTTACGTTAAATTTTTTTTTCAGGTTGGGAGATCAACAGAAAGCCCCATAGACTTTGTAGTAACAGATACTATTTCTGGAAGTCAAAATAATGATGAAACCCAGATTACCCAAAGCACCATATCCCGTTTTGCATGCAGGATTGTCTGTGACAGGAGCCCACCATATACAGCAAGGATTTTTGCAGCTGGATTTGACTCATCTAAAAATATATTTCTTGGTGTAAGTAATAACAGTTATGGTATGTATGAACAAACTCTGTTTTTTTTTCTCATATTTTCAAGCCCCACAATTTGCTTGTACTAGTTGATAAGTTATCCTGTCATGAGACCTCAATGATTTCAGTATACCAGCTGCAGTGTTAAGTAGAAATGGCAGTTTTATGTGCCTAATTTATTACCAGTGTGGACTCATGGTCATAATAGTCTTCAACAGTAAAACTCTATTTTAGTAATTGTTAGTGGATTTTCTTTAGGTTTATTTGATATATTCTTGTTAGCCATTATGAATAAGTTGCTATTGCAGTTGTGAGCAATGCAGGAGCAGATCAACTGCATTATGGAAAAGGATGTGCCTTTACAATAGTATTCCAGTAACTAAGAGTATCCTACTGACTTTAAGACCTTAAGTCTTACCTGACCTGCAGTCAGGGGCACTCAGCTGAGTTAAAAATTATGTTTGAAGAGAGAATAGTAATTGAAGATGCATAAGCAAAAGGTGTTACCAGTCTGGCCCAAGGTATTAAAAGTGCTTCCTTTATTTATTTTTTCTTTGTAAATCTAAGTATTGCCAGCTGCTGAGGAAGTGTGCATTAGACACCACTAGTAAAACATTCAGCATGTAAAACTTCTTTGGTCCATTCAAGTTTGTCTAAACTTTTTCTGTGCTGGGGTGATTGTCACATGCAGGAAAAAGCGGCAAAGTGGAAAAATCCTGATGGCCATATGGATGGATTGACAACTAATGGGGTCTTGGTTATGCATCCAAAAGGAGGGTTCACGGAGGAGTCTAAACCTGGAGTTTGGCGGGAAATCTCAGTCTGTGGTGATGTGTACACTCTCCGGGAAACCAGATCTGCTCAACAAAGGGGGAAACTGGTAAGTCAAAAGTAACTGGTAATTAAAACAATATAAGGGATACTTGTTTTCCTGGTTTTGAATGGAGGCAGTCATAGGGTGACTGCTGAGTGCTAGTGTTGTGGGTAGTGCTGGGTGCTGGGCACTGAAATAATCTAAGTAGATATGTGTTATAGTAGATTCTGTACTGCTCTTCTGTTTATGATTATACAGGAGAACACTACATTTTCTCCTAATGTCACTTTTCCAACTGAAATAGCACAGAGTGTAAAAGCTAAATAAACTTTGCGTTTGAATCTCCATCTCTGAAATGTTCTCCTGAGACATGGGGACATCTGGAAATTACTGCATGGGAAGCTGTCTTTTGCAGTACTATCTTAAAAGGAAGAGTCCACTTGCATGCGAAACAAGTTTGCATAACACAGCTTCTGTTTGATTTACCTGCCGCTAGGAAGATAAGAGAAGCCCTGCTAAGTATATTCCTGTTTTATTCTTTGAAGCAGGATGGGCTTTGCTGCCACAGGGACTTGTGGCATGCGTAACTGGGAAAGGGGTTCCTATGAAACATGTGCCTGCTTTTCATGAAATCATAGAACGGTTAGGATTGGAAACGACCTTAAGATCTAGTTCCAACCCCCCCTGCCATGGGCAGGGACACCTCACACTAAACCATGTTGCCCAAGGCTGTGTCAAACCTGGCCTTCAACACTGCCAGGGATGGAGCATTTTACTGCCTGGGCAACCTGTTCCAGTGCCTCACCACCGTAACAGTAAAGAACTTCTTATATCTAACCTGAACTTCCCCTGTTTAAGTTTAAACCCATTACCCCTTGTCCTATCACTACAGTCACTCCTGAAGAATCCTTCTCTAGCATCTTTGTAGGCCCACTTCAGATATTGGAAGGCTGCTATGTCTTTCCGTAGAAGATGGGAAGGAATTCCCATGGCTCTTGTTGTTAACCACCACCATATAGAAGTAGCCCAGCAAAATACATAGGTAGCCATATTTCCAGTGAGGCAGATGACCTTCCCAAGAAGTCCTCATTGGCTTCTAGGTAGGTTAGGATGCTGTCCTGCCAGCAGACCTGGAAAAGCCCGTTCTGCTCTGTTAGAGTTCAAGGGTCATCTTCACAGCAGCTGAAGTTGCCCCTTTTGTAGCTTTATAATCCAGCTAGTAGACTTTAAAGACTAAGAAAGTGTGTGTCGTGGTGGGGAATATCTTCTCTTTTTTGTGCCAAAGTTCCTTTTGTCTTGCTGCCTTAAGTTCCTATTAGCTTGATGGTATTAGAGATATCTCACATACTTGCAGAAAACTGGCTTTCCAGCTTTGACATTGGCTTTGCAGAAAACTGACTGCTCAGAGGAGTTAGGAAAATGGAGTTTGACTATTTTGTTCTGCTTTCGGTAGACAGCCTTCTGTACATAAATTGCTTTGTCACTTTAATGATGGCAGGCAAACATTGCCTTGGGGACTGGGACAGATGATGTTGCAATTGCACCCTTGGTATCTGGTTAACAGAACACCTTTTTAGTGCTGATGAAGAAAGGCGTACTAAAACAAATTCCCTTTCCTGCATCCAAAATGACTTGAATTCTCATTTAAATAAAATTACATGGCGCACTGGTATTCAGGTGATCAGTGTTTGTTGATTGGGTTCATAAAACCAAATGCACTCTATATAATGAATTGAGCACATTGCATATGAGAGAGCTTTTTGCTTTGCTGTTTGTGCAGGAGTTATCTGAAAAGTGCATAAAATCAAGGCTTCTCTCATTTCTACTTCAGATGCTGAATTTTTCTGCTGGAAATGCTTTACACTGGTAACCTCTTATTTGTAGTCTGTATTGTACCATCTAGGTGTTTTGTGCAAGGATGATGCACAGTTAATCTCCAAATTTGAACTGGATTTAAATGTAAATGCCAAATTGGTTGTCATGCGTAGTGTTCTTGAGTAGACATGATTGCATGTGACCTACTTAGTGTATTTGTATTTCGCTATTTGTTTTGCCTTAGTGGTATTTTCTATGTATTTTCTATGCATAAAGCCAGCATACGTCTGTTTTCCCCTTAAATTTCATAAAGAATCTTCTTAATATATATTCATTGTTACTGAACTGGTAGCAATAGTAGAAGATGCTTATATGCTTGTGACATTAAAATAAATTAAAGAATATTTCAGCAAAATACAGTGTGTGTTTGGCATAATCCCTTGAAAATATTTGAAGTACGTGTGTTTGGTCAGATGAGAGAAACCTTTAGGTAGCACACATTGGGGCTATATTTGCATGCAATAGTTCATTAAATAAGAGGCCTAACTAGTTGGGATGGTTAATTGTTCAGAAGTTGAGCCTGTGTGGCCTCAGTTGCAGAACTTGTTACTTGAGAAATTCAACTGGTAACTCACTCTGCTGTAATGATAATCTGTGCAAGTACCTGTGCACATAGCTTGCAGTGCACTTGTCATTTATCCCTAATGTATCTCTAGAAGAGTTTCACTGTTGATGAGGGAGTTCATGCTCCTGCAAAATGCTTTACGCTTACCACAAGCCAAAAAAAAAAAAAAAGTGTGTGAATGGCAGCTGGTCTATTCTGCGTAGCAGTTTTTATTCCAAAAAGGATCTTTTGCTGTGTGAGCAGCCTCTGCCAGTCTAATGGGCAAAGAATTCCAGGGGAGCAATCTACTAATACAGCCCTTAGGGAATGGCAAATTTCCTCTTCAGTTGATCAGGGCTTACCTTAACCATGACAAAGGCACACAGAGAATCAGTATTGGAGAGGAAAAGTAGCATGCTGAGAGGTAGGAGATATTTGTGAATAAGTTAGTGATTACTAATGTAATACCTTTCCCAATTTGCAGGCAGGAAGACTCTGTATAATTATTAGTATTGATATAGCATATAACAATTGCAAAATTAAGACAAAATTAAGACCAGTACCAGCACAGAATGTGACACCAATGCTTGCTATAATCTTAAATATAGGATAAGAGATGGATTCAGGCAAATGAAGGGGTCTCAATGAAACAATAGAAAAATATTATCTAATGTGCTAGGGATGGTAACAGCTTGGTGAGAAAGACAATACATTTACAGAACTGAGTTGTTTATAAAAGCTCTCAGGCTTAACTACTTGTCCTTGTGTTCTTTCTTTAGGTAGAAAACGAGACCAATGTCCTACAAGATGGCTCTCTCATTGACCTGTGTGGAGCCACCCTTCTGTGGAGAACGGCAGATGGACTGTTTCACACTCCAACTCAGAAACACATTGAAGCTCTGCGACAGGAGATAAATGCTGCCAGACCACAGTGTCCTGTTGGGTTAAACACTTTAGCATTTCCCAGCATCAACCGTAAGGATGTGGTAGAAGAGAAACAGCCGTGGGCATACCTCAGCTGTGGTCATGTTCATGGCTATCACAACTGGGGACATCGCAGTGACACAGAAGCGAATGAGCGGGAATGTCCTATGTGCAGAACCATTGGCCCTTATGTGCCTCTCTGGCTTGGTTGTGAAGCAGGCTTTTATGTGGATGCTGGTCCTCCAACTCATGCTTTTACCCCTTGTGGACATGTGTGCTCTGAGAAGTCTGCAAAATACTGGTCTCAAATCCCCCTGCCTCATGGTACTCATGCATTTCATGCTGCGTGCCCTTTTTGTGCAACACAACTGTCTGGGGAACACAACTGCATCAAGCTAATTTTTCAGGGTCCAGTTGACTGATACCGCTTTACAATGACCACAATAACATTTTCTTTAACAATTTACTGTGAAGATTTTGCCACTAACTCTAAATTTTACCTTTTTTTATAATGTTATTAATAGGGTGGTAGGGTGGGGATGGGGAGCTGACAAAGGAAATTGTGAGGGACTGTGGTGGAATTGGGATACATTGATACCTGGAACTTGTCAGATATCAGTGGTGTTGCATGCTCAAAAGCAGCATATTCATGAAGTCTTCTTGGTTCAATTGTAGTATATTTGTAATCTTTTTATTAGTACCCTGGATGAGAAAAAGGTGTCTTAATGATTTTTTTTAAGCTAAGATTTTTTTAATGGAGAGGTTTTTTTTCTTCTAAACTTTGACAAGCCTTTAAAACCTATTTTTCAAATCTAGAAGGAGCATACAGAATGTAACTGTCTTTAATTTGTGATATAATTTAACTTGAATAGTTTCTCAAGGAGCTAATACAGAATGTGTGGACAGCCGTAGGTGAATGTTCACTGGAGATAATTGGATATGTAAGAGAAAAATCAGCTGTCTAAATTGTAGAGTATAAAAGCTATTAAAGTATCTATTATGGTATAACACAGCTGGCCAAAAAGGCATCAAAGATTACTTGAAACTGAGGAAATCCTGTTTGCATTGATTTCCTTTCAGTGTAAGATATCCACTGTTCATTATGTATGGTATATGGCTGATTTTTATTTTTCCTCCCCTTTCCCCCACTTTAACCTGCATCTGGTGAAACTGCTTTACTTTTTTTACATACTTAATCCTGGGTTTTAAGCCAGTGTTCTGTATATGTGTAGTCCAGCCTTTTTATTTCTGCTTAACTTAGCTTGCCCTAACTGCTCCTTGCATGCCCAGGACCATTGGGTTCATTGAGATGTAGCAAGCCTTTAAAAACTGCATTAATGAAGGGGTAGTCCTGCAGCAAAACAGAAGGTTTAGGTACAACTTATACAGAACTCATTTACATAGACCTAAATTCAGGAAAGCACTTAATTTGTGTTTAGATCTAAACCCATGGATGGGACTATTTAGATTCTCAAGTGCTTCAGTGGATTGTGGTTATATGCTGTTATGTTTTGAAATAAAAATGCAATTAGGAGTCAGGTTTTTTTTTTAAGCTCACTTACTAGCCAAAATGCTATAAGGAGAATGTCGATTCTAGTTCAGCTGTGTATTTTTGTTCAGTTTTCAACCTGCTCCCATCTGTCACCTTTTTTTTGCAGATTGAGCTGTGTTTGTATCCATTTTTTTTTTTTTTTCAAATGTGTGCAAATCAAACAGCATTCAAATGTAATCAAATATATGCACCAGGGTGGTACATATGAAGTGGATCACTTGAAATTCCTCACTTTTTGAGAGCTGATAAATGTTTACTGTGGAAAAAATTAAATCAGAATTTCATGAGATGTACCCTGCCCACTGTTAGTTTCATTTCATACAGGATGATAACGCTTTGATTTGTGATTTATTTAGTTTGGGTTTTTTTTCTTTTGCTTTCTGTACTTTTGGTATCTGAGGTATCAATATATCCAGGTTAAAAAAAAAAAAGTAAAGAATTCGGGAGAAAACTGTAACATCTTTAGACGAAATTGATCATTCAAGCTTAGTTCTGTTTAATCAACTATAGCTCTTTGCTATATTTGTGTCCTTTGTATAAATACATAATTTATATGATTTTAATATATTCTGTATATATATACTTGAATTGGCCTGTTCATATTTTGGTTGTAAAGTTGTTTTATAGTTAACCTTATAAACATTTTGCATGTCCCTTGCCAGTGGTGACGGGGCATACTTTGTCTGCTGCTGTTTTTAGTATGATTTTGCTGTATAAATGTTCAGCATTTTAATAATTTGGAAATATCTTTTCTTTTTATGCTTTTTCTGTTTTAAAAAAAGAAAACCTGCAGCATTTCCTCTAAATATCCCAAACTGTACAGGAAATAGGGTGAATCTTGTTAATCTAAAACTACATGCTTCTTCCTAGTGCCTTTTCAATGAGATCATCATCTTGTGATTCTGTATTCTGAGTCCTTACTCCCACAAGACAACCTTGTGGCTAATCATCAAGAGCAACAGCCCAGCCAGATTGGGAAGAAATGCCTTTGGCCTTCAGTTCCTTGTTGTGGTTTCTGTCATAAACGTGAAGGTGCCTCTTCCTTGTTTATATTCAGTACAAGTTCCTCAGGTCCCATATGCATACAGCAGCATTATTTCTATTTAGCATATATACCTCATCTGCAAGAGGCAGTCTCACCTCCACCAACTCCTTACTGGACTCTGTGAAACATTGTTCCTCACAAGATATGCTATGAAATACACTTTCAGGAAACGTTCTTTGTTGAATTAAGGCCATGAGCTATGTGTTAAGGCTGGTGGCCAGAAGTCTCAAGCTCCATGTATGACAGCTTCCAAGGTCTGGGATGGTAACTGTAGTACTGAGCGGAGCTGATCGGCACTTGCATGTGTGGTCTCCTTCTGAGCATAAATATATTGTAAACATGCAGGTTCCCAGGTATCTCCATTACTGAGCTGCTTTACTTTCTTCTTTCACTGTTGCAGTTTAATTGCTGCTTCAGGGCTCCATATAGCTATACCTTGTGCAAAGTGAATGTACAGTGTCAGAAGAATCCTCAGTGCAAACACCTAGCACACCATCTGGTTGTGTTGTGTTTGCCTTGCATGAAGTGGAAGGTCGACTACTGGTTTGTATCCAAGTGAAGCGTCTATTTTAAAAGACTTTTAAGCAAGACTGTTGTTTTCTTTCACTGTTGGCAATTCTGTGTAACACAAGGAATACTGCAGGGAGGAAAACTCTCCTGTTGGCTGGGAAGTAAACTCTGTACACAGTTCTTTGCGTGAATCCAGGTACTTTGCCATTAACCGGCATTCAGATCTAGGGTGAGTCCTGCAGACCTGGATTTGCTGTAAAGTTTGTAGCATTATTTTTCTCAAACACTCCTGCCACACTTACTGCTCTAATGAAATGATGGACTGTTGGGCTGATAGCCCTTTTCTCCTTCTCTCATCTCAGTAAACACACACCTTCTGGTCTGGTAACTCAATAGCGAAAGTATTTGCTGGGTAAATAAAACTAGTTCTGTTTGGAGTGAGTATACTTGAGAACCACTCTCAAACTTTGTTTTGAAAGCTTATTTCATTATTTCAGCGTTAGCTGTGATTCTCGTGTACCATTTCAAATGCTGATAAAGTGTACTGTAAAGAGTTTTTTCACTTGTTACTGTTGATTCTATTTGAATGCTTCAAAACCAGCTTTGACGGCGTAACTTAGAGGTAAAGGTATTTTTCTAGTCTGAACTTTAAAAATAAGTGTTATACCCACGCACGCTGGAGCTGTTACACTTCCCTTCTTCCTGGCAGCTTTTTGATACAAGTGCTGGAGTCTAAATAGACATCTGAGTGGTAAGCATTGTTCTTATTTTGGATTGTGGTCCAATTAGTATGAAAGAGTTAGCATGATACTGCATTTTAATCACATTTTTCTTTTCAAGTGTGGTCACTTTGTGTGTCAGGGTACAGTAGTAGTGCTGTATTGGCAGAGTAGTTATAGGAGGATTTGGTTTTGTCCTTTGTGAGGCTGGGAATGGGGCTCAGAAAAGACTAAAGCCACTGCTGGGCCAGTTCCAATAGGGACAGATCCCCTCTGAAGCAAAGGCATGCCAGGAACCCATCAGAAACATGATCTGAAAGCTGGTTCATGCTCTAAAAACGATTCTCCTCCAGTTCTTTGGGAAGCTCTGGATGGCATGGAAAGGCTGTGATCTTCCCAACAAAACACTGTGATGTTTTAGTGGGATTTCCTGGAATTAAGAGTGTTCTGCTTCAGAGCCTGAGTGTGGAGCAAAGCTGCTGAGTGATCACAGTGACAAACTGCAGTAGTCTCTGAATATAACCTGTTTTTTTTAACTTCATGCACCAGCCAAAGGAAACTTGGTTTCACCTGTGGTAATTTTCCTTTTAGTGCTGTTGCAGTAGTTGGTCACTTTGCTCACTATGTTTTTTTCCTTCTTCTGGAAGTGGAAGCTTTTCCAAGACTGTCATGTTTCTGTTCATCCAGCTCATAGTCTGATGGAATGCCACATGGAATGCGAAGTGGAATTGACAAGTTAGAGCTGTTGATGGGTGCAGGTAGGAGCAGAAGAGTCTGTTGGGTACGTGATTTGAGTTGGTGTGGACAGCCCAGTATTTCTTCAGTATTCTGGCCAGGGATTCCTCATTTGCTCAGTTCTCAGCCTCTCATGAGTTCTTGGCTCCTCTCACTTTCTATTTATCCATGTAGTTGCAGGTAAACAAATAAAGCTTGGAAAACAAGAGGAACAAAAAAAAAAACACCTTTCAGGCTTGCTTATCTCTTCAAGGGAAATATAAATTGGAGTTGCAAATGTCTCTTACAGATTTTCTTCATTAATCTAATTTTTATGAGGATTCTTTACAAGCCTTCGCACCTCATGTGAAATAAAAACAGGAGGTAAGGCTGTTTTTTGGGGGATTGGGGGAATGGAGAGGGGGTAGTCACAGTAGTTCTGCAGGCTGTGTGCAAACCACACACTGTTCTTGAAAAATCAGTTGTCAGCCTTGGCAGGTAGCAAAGATGGATATTTACCTTTTGTGGTGATAAGAGTTTTCATTTATTGGCAGTGGAACAAAAATACAAGTTGCTTGAACAATCAGACTACAGGTGAAACTGGTGGCTGTCATGATTTCCTTTTAACGGCATATTTATACTTTGCTCATGGGCGATTCAGTTTTCCAGTCCTCTGTAAGTCTGTTCTGTTCATGTCGTGGCAATTAGGGATAGTGTTGCTTTCCTCTTGGATTAAATACACGATGGAGAGCCCCTGGAAGGCGCCTTCTTGGGACCCAACCGTAGTAAAAATCACATGCAGGGAAGTCCAGCATGATGGAGATGTTTACCTTTCAACAGTGTTAGCAGTTGCTACAGTTCCGGGTATATTTGTAAAATTAGTCTTTTATATACTGTATGAAATGGACTGAAAGAATTTCTTTGCTGTTGTACCTGTGGGAGTACAAGCCATTTTACAGAAAAAAAAAAAATCTCAGTATTGACTCCTTCGGTGTTTTCTCCCTGCTGGTTGGCTGTCAGGGTTTAACTTTGATTTGCAAAATATATAAATAACTTAAACAGTTTCTCCTACCCTTTTATCTCCTTTCTTCTCAGAAACAAAAACCTAAGCTTTTGAGGATTCTTATGTATTCAAGGTGTAGTGGAGTGTACTCAGGTGTAAGCGCCCTGAAATTTCAGTTAATTCACTTCCCTGATTTTTAAATTGAACTGTTTGTTTTCAATGCCAACTGCCTTCTTGCGGTGTTAACATAATTGCTAAATAAAAGCAATTTCCAGGAATAATATGCTTTGTGACTCTTAAAATTAATTTCCATAATGGTAATTCAGTGTTCTGTTTGTGTCTGTGTATTCATCCCTTTTTGTATGCAGTCCCTCTGAGTATGCAAGCTGCTTTTTTTTTTTTTTTAATGAGCTAAAATGAATTGTCAGCCTTTCTTGGTAAGCAGGAAAAAATAAATGTTGGTGTGAGAATAGGAAAGGGAAATAAGGATATCTACAACTTCTTTTAGATGTGGTTGTCGGCCAGCTGACTGTCAGGCGTCCTTGTAATTGAAGAATGCTAAACACTTTCCAGGGAGGATGCTCCCACGTGAATGTGAGGAGGAAGCTTTGGGTTTGTGTGTAACTGCATGTCCGCCTCTCCGTAGAAGAGCAAACCCTCTCCTCTGGGACTGTTGCTGTCGGTGCAGGGACTGGCTTCACTCAGAACATCCTTAATGGTGCTGGACACACACTGTACAGACCTGCTCAGACCGGTCTCTACGCCAGTGGGTTTCTGAAGAGCTAATCTGTGCTTGAAGTGCGGTGCATGGGTGGAGGACAGCAGTTCACACCTGGCAAAGGTAGACATGATCTGATTCTGTTTAAAGCAGAAGCAACTGCAAAGAAGTACTTCTGCTGGGGGTGGTGAGAGAGGTTTCTGCTAATCCTTTGAGGGGGAGACACGCCTGGAGGCAGGAACAAGGACGGAGTGGGAGGCGTGGGGAGCTCTGGTAGCTGAGGTGGCTGCTGGTAACCCAGAGATCAGACTATAGTACCCCTTGGTAATAACCTTCTGTGAGCTTTTTGTGCAAATTCCATGGATTTTTGTATCAGTTCCATCAGATAACAGGAGTTTGGCTTTTAATTCCAACCTATAGCTTTTAGTCTGTGCTCAGTTTACTTTCTGCAAGACAACAGGACCAAATGTCATCCTAATGATCCCATTCCCTTCCTGCCTTTCTCATTCTTCTAACTACCTGATGAGAGATGCTGCGGTCTCTTTTCACTCCTCAGTGAAGAGTAAGTATTCCTGCCTCTCTGTTACCTGGCTGTAAAACTTCACTTGTTTTGAAGCTTGTTCTGAGCTTGTGCTGCTCAGAAATGGTTTTTGTGAGAGGTTTCCAGAGCATTTGTGATTACTGATTCTCTTTCCCTTTCAAAGTGCTGCTGTATGGATGCATATTTTTAGGAGGAACTTAGGAAATCTCTTTCCTAAATCTAAGGCAGACAGAAATTTGGCATAGGAGTCTGAGCCTGTTATTCCTTTTTAACTTGCTGAAAAGGTGTGTCTGAAGATGGGCTCAAGATGAGCAAATACTTAACAGCACAAAAGAACTCAGTAGAAACCCAACTACATCAGTGCTTAGAATCATACAGAATCATAAAATGGTTTGTGTTAGAAGGGGCCTTAAAGCGCATCCAGTTCCAAACCATGCCATAGGCAGGGACACCTTCCACTACACTGGGTTGCTCCAAGCCCTGTCC